GACATACATGCCATCTCATCTTAGATAGAATAGAATTTAGGATTAGCATATAAGGCCCTAAATAGCCAAACTCCATTTTATATCAGATATCTGACTGTTCCTTATGTTCCTAAAAGGGCACTTTACTCTTAATCTGCATATTTACAGTGGTTCCTAGAATCTTTAGAAATAGAATGGGAGACATCTTTTAGTTATCAGGCTCCTCTCTTGTGAAACAAGCTACCAGTTTTAGTTGGTCAGGCAGACACCCTGTCAACTTTTAAGGCTAGGCTTCAAACTTTTGTTTTGGTTACGCTTATAGATAGAGTGGTTCAGGTTATCCTGAGCTATCTCTATAGTTACGCTGCTATAGGCTTAGGATGCTGAAGGACATAGTGAGTTTACCAAAGATGAAAAGCTTTAACCCTTATGTTTGTATGATTTGATTAAATTGTCTTTGTAAAGTGTCTTGAGATGATGCATGCTGTAAAGTGGCACTACATTAATAAAATTGAATTTATCTTTGATCTTTACAATCGTTATGAAAAAAGCAATTTACCACATCCAATATTCTTTATTATTTCCTTTCACGGAGATTCCCTGTAATCTATCAAAGCGATTTAAAGTTCTTTGGGCTTTATGAGGGTTATTTAAACTATTTTTATTGACTCAAGATCCTTTTTTGTCACTGTATAAAGTTTCAAATCATCAAATATTGGCTTGAGGTAAAGCTGAGTGTATATACAAAATGCTTTTTATCTTTAAAATAAGCTTTTATAATGAACTATGCATATTAGTAATCAGTATTTATATCAAAATTATCAAATCACAATACGTTTAACTTTCCAAAGGGTGGTTAACCTATGGCTAACCTATAGAACTTACAAGATCAATTAAAAAGCTCAACCAGGAGCTCACAAAGTGCAACTCTTGTGCAAAGTATAAAAGCATTGTCCCCAGTAAATAATTTAATCCAAAAAAATAATAATAATAATAATGGACAAAAAACATAATCATGTTAAAAACCATTACACACTGAAAATATGAAATATCTATGCTGGTGAAGGTTCTCAGTCATCCAGGTCATAGTCATTCAGAAACAAATTAAAAACAATCCACTGGACTTGGTTCCCAAGTTTGAAACATACATATCAGACATATCAGTGTGATGATCGGAGGCTGATTTACAGCTTTAGGACTTAAAACACTTGCTTTAGTTGATGGAACAGGGAGTTCTGCTTTCTACCAGAGTCCTAAAAAATTAATGTCTAATAGTTACCAAGACATTGACTTAAAGCACACCAGCAAGTCCTGAATGGTTTAATTCAAATTTAATTAAATTTGTTTGATCATCTGAAACATATGTGAGTCTGACAAAAAAAAAAAAAAAAAAAGAAACCTAAATAGATACTAAAAAATTCCACTTTGTAGTCACTGAAAAGTTTTTCTGTTTTTTGTACTTTTCCTAATTGCCACATGTTATATCCATTCTGCCCAGTAGGGGGCAGAGCAGACACACAGCAGCGTTTACGAATCAAATTCAGGCAGATTAGAGTTAAAAGTTTATTTCAGTTTATAAAATAAGATCAATTCAGTTTCCAAGTATCTTTTTCTAATGCTTTTTTAATGATATTTCAAAATAATATAAACCTACATTAAGAGCGAATCTTGCAAGAGGAGACGCTTGGTTTGCATTAGTAATGCATTTTTAGCAATGATTCATGAATCATGTTTATTCCTATGTTGCAACGATTTCGTGGCTTTTGGCAATAATAGCATCATTAAAAAAAAAAAAAAAAATAGTGGTAATTTCTTAAACACCTGGGCATCTTTTTGAGTTTTTGGGGGGTTTTTGACAGAGATGCGCATGCATTCGGTCCATTTAGATATATTGAAAACAAGGTTGTGAAATCTTAAGACTGTGAGATAATGAATTAATATTTCTTCACAAGTTTCCAAATGAATGAGTGATGCGAGGCGCGTCTGAGCATGTCTGCGGTGTGATGGGGGAAGATCTTCACCTCCACCATATGAAAAGATAAGAAGAAACAACAGATCTGATCGCTTCTCAACCATGGGGACTTTAATGCACCGTTTAGCCTCTCTGATTCTCTTTGTCTCAAACGTTTTCGGTAAGATCTTTTTCTTTTGAATACTTTCTATTACTTTTCCAACTTCTTAAATGTTCAGCTGTTTGGTAAACTCTGCACTTTTCCAACTTGGAAAGTCACAAAATCTCTCATAATGTTTAAATTACAGAAGCCAGTTGGTGCTGATTACAGTTTATTAACTAAACTAACTAAAGGAAAATATCTGTTGGATGTTTAAATTGTACAACAGCATTCAATGCTCCTAAACTCTCCACCTTTCCTTATAAGGTATGGGGCTCCGTTTGTATCAAAAACAAGCAGATGTAAAATGTCTAGATATTGTGCTGTTGTTGCATATGTGTTTTCTGTATATGTATAAGTTGCACATGTATTTGCAGCATATGTCTGTGCTGCATATGTCTATGTTGTATATGTAGATGTTGTATATGTCTATGTTGCATATGTCTATGTTGCATATGCAGATGTTGCCTCACTGTAATCTTGCCAGTCTGCATGTCTGAAACATCCGTGATTACGATCGAACCTAGTGGCGGAAAAATTGTTCGGTTAGTTGAAAAACCCGGTGATCCAGACACTAGATACCATATAAACCACTTTGAATCCTGCCAATAGCAAATTTAACCCCAAAATACTGACGTGCTTAATAATGTACATGGTCACCATGGCAAGCCTGTTTTCTGTTCAGTGATTTTATTTTTCATTAATATCAGACATCATGCTCTTGCCTACTGAA